AGATGTTTTGATTAATAAATACTGTCTACCAACTCTTCACACACAAAAAAAGCTTTTGTTAACTACTAAAATGTTGGTAGCTTCTTGTTTTCTTAATAAAAAAAAAACCCAAATTTGTAATGTCTATAATGGGCTTCTATCGTTGTTATCCTTAGTGCACATAGCTACATGGCTACACCTGAAATCTAAGACTTACATAGATACTGCAACCTTTGTCATTTTAGAATTAAAATTTTCTCCTTCACATGGACTTCTGTGATACCTAGAAAGAGGTTGCTTCTGCGAAATCTAGAAAGAGACACCTTATTTTGCACCATACTCACAGCTAGAAACAACGAACTATACGCAATTCTAAAAATAAAGGAAAAACCCTTTTTGTATTTCAAGGGAATAACTGTAAAGCATTTTTCCTTATTGCGAGAACCTAGGAAACTCCTTTATTATTTATGTTCTCTGATCCCTCCAACTAAATACTCTTAATCTGCTTGTGATCTTTCAAAAATCATTCCATTTAAGGCAATAGACATGAAGTATAATTTCTCAAGTTCAAGAAAATCAGCAGTGAAGCATTGCAATGGCAATTACAAAAGCGATAAAACGGACCAAAATTTTTTATCAGTGTCCAGAAAACCATGCTTCCTAATCAGCATTTATCCAACAACAAATACAAATCTTGGTAGCTATCAAACGAAAAACATAGAAACTTGCCCATGCTTCCGATTGAAGAATATCCCAAAAGAAGTTACTTGTGCAAGAACCTCGGGCAAGAACCTCAAGAATATAAAGTACAGAATGAACAAATATGAGTTTGGATTGTAATGGTATATAACCTTATTAACTGAAATACACATATTCGAAAAGAGCGATGAAGATTAATATCTTCTAAAAGTGGATAGAACAGGCAAACATAACCTCTTCCAAAGGAGGATAAGTAGGTTGGCACGCGAGATTGTAAAGCATGCTACTAGAGAGCTTGACTACACACCATAGACTGATGGTATTAAGATACTAGAACAACATCAAAAACAGAAGAAGAAAGCCTTATCCCAAATTTTTTGGGCCAGCTCTAATGAGCCTTATTCTTCCATCAGTTGTCTAAGTTAACCACTATCATATCATTCTTGATTATTTCCATCCAAGTTCTCATAGCCCTGACTTTAGTCTTCTTACTTCATTATTAATTACAATTTTATCCCTTCTTCTAATTAGTGCATTTAATGCGCACTGATGCTATGCACTGCATGTGATCAAAACATATCAATTGATTCTCTAGTTTTATCCTCAATAGAACCATTTCTAACCTCCTACAAATACATTCATTTCTTATCCTATCTCTTAGGTTATATCCACATGTCAATTATGACATTTTCATTTCTGCTGAACTTTGCACATTCTTAATAATTAAAACCCTGATCCATAAAGCATCATTGGTCTTATATATGTTTTGTAAAACTTGCCTTTAATTTCAAGGTACCCTACAGCCCCATAACATGCTTTTCCATAAACATAATCTAATTATCTCTCTCTACAATGAAGCTTTCTCAACATATGATGGTACCGAAGCAGATAGTGACATTGTTCCCGAGCCAAACAATACTCCCCAAAAATATAGAAAACCATGAACTCCTCCTCTCTCTTCTCCCCACTACCCAAAACAAATGCCAAAACTGTCTATCCCTGTTCAAAATGAAGTCATTAACGAGGGTAAATAAATCATAATGAAGCTCACTTCAATACATTGAATGAAGCAACCACCAACTAGACCAGCTTACCTAATAATTCAAAACTTGTAAAAAAGCAAAAATCAAAAGTAAAATTTAGTAGGAAATAAAAGACTTACCCTGGCCAGCCTTCCTTTTTTTAATTTTTAATTTCGGGGGAGAAGTAATAGCCTCCCCCTTATGAATGTCCGAGCTTTCCTTCTTAGTGTCATCCTTGAAGCCAGAGGACAAATCCTTATCGATTTCCACAAGTTCATTAAAAACTGAAGCATCACTCCTGATTTCCATGTTGTCATCAGAAGACAACTCCATATCAGATGTCGAATCCCTTTGCATCTCATGAGATTTCATTCTCGCGTTTGAAGAAGTTGCTATTGCATCAATTTTGAAACCAGAAGGTTTATTCCTATGTATTTCCGGGCGTTCCTTCTTAGAATCATTCTTGAAGCCAGAGAACAAATCCTTATTGATTTCCACTAGTTCATTAATTTTCTGAGGTACTAAAGAATCACTCCTAATTTCTATTTTGTCATCAGAAGACAAGTCCAAATCAGACGTCGAATCCCCTTGCACCTCATGAGATTTCATTCTCGCATTTGAAGAAGTTGCTACTGGATCATTTTCTAAACCAGAAGATGGACTATCAATCTTCAACACCGGCGTACCATTTGAGGAAACCAAGCTATCATTTGTCGCGAATTGTTTCCTATCAGTAGATGATTTCACAGAATCTTCAGTAATATCATCTTCTTCTTGGGCATTGGAAGATGAAACCCTCTCCTCCTCGGAGGAAGATAAGGTCTCCTCCACAACAACATCCTCATTCCCATCTGACGCAGTGAAGTTTCCTCGAAAGGACAAATTGAAAAAGTTTAAACTCAGAAGGAAAGATGCCATAACAAGAAATATTGCTAACCCTCCCACTGCAACTGTTATAACACCAGGACGGCCTTTACTCGAAGACATCTTCATGTTTCCTTCAAAAATTCGATCTTTGCACAACGCTTCTCAGCATTCAATCAAAAGGGAGCTCAAATGCCTCAAAATATGCAAACAAAACAAATAAAATTTCATCTTCGCATATAATTTTCCACAGAGAAATCTTCAACTTGATCTTTAATAATAATAAAAAAACTGCTCGAACTCCAAATTAAGCTAAAAACAACAAATTTGAACCGGAATCGTCAAATTCCTGATTTTGACCTCAATTTCCAAAAGTAAATCTCAGATCGAACGAAATTGGAAATAAATTTACCAATCAATAACTCAAAATATCTACTTTGATCCAGAAATTCCAACTTCCTCTAAAAAATGCCTCATCCAAAATCATGTCATCAAAAACCAGATTCGAGAGAAAAGTAAGGAAACCTCAGATATTAGAATACTCGCATAGATTGTGAAAGCGCTGAATTTGATGCTTCGGATCAAGAGAATGAGATTTCCGCCATTAATGCGCTGTAGAAGTTTGGACAGAGAAAAAAAGAATCAAAATATAACCCACTTTAAAATGAGTAATATAGAGAATTTAGAAATGACAAAAAATAACCCTCTTTGGTGGCACAAATAAAGGTTCTTGGGCCGACAGCTAACGGATGCCATTACTGTCTGGAGATACTAGATCCGGATCCGACCCGTTATTGGTTGAAAATGAGCCCGCTTTGTCCGAGTCCTTTGCCAAATTTTGACGTGGAGATTGTTTTTGGACAATGGATTTTCCAAATATATGGAAAACATTGTTCATGATGTTTTGGGTGAATTTTGGACGTAAAGCATAATGTGGAAATCTGGATATTGTCAAATTCTCTTTTGAATTGTTTCTAAGACTTTGAGGCGATTACATTTTCAAGAATATTAATATTGTTTAAAATTCTACAACTTTTACATGTGTTAGAAAGAATATAAAATGTCTTTTTTATTAAAGCATCGAATATTTGGAAGAAATATGGAAATCTTGATACCAAAAAATTTTCCATATGTCATAACATTTGCTTCTAGTTTGACTTCAAAGTTTCTTGAGACTAAAAAAATGAGTAGCATTCAGATTTATCCAAATCACATGTATAGCTTCCAAATCTAAGAAAAATAAGTACCTGGTTTTTTTCAACTAGAACATTACTGTTTGGATAGGTGTAGAACATGGAACATCTTGAAATCACAATATTGCAATTTTTAGTTTTCAAATAGAAATTCAACAATGCATGATTACTGTGTCCTTTTTTCTTTAATTTCTCACACCAAACAATTATTAACATTATGGTTCTTTAAAATCATAACTTCTTAATTTGTAAACTAAATAACTTATTTTCTTTAAAGAATATGATAACATCCTAAGATGTTAAATTATTGCACCACAACATATATCAACATTCTCAATATAGAGACGTTCTTCCTATTGGCTAGGTTATTAAGAAAAGACAATTTTGCCTTTGTCAGTAGTCCCATGTTGGAAAATGTAATGAATAGTGTTTTGGGTTTTGTATTGTTTGGGCTTTGCATAACACACGCGCGCGCACGCCACGCCACGCCTCGCCTCGCCACGCCACGCCACGCCTGACATTATGGCGAACGTTACCGAATTGATTGCTGGATTTTGTAATGGCTCTCTGTAGGCTGTCTAAAAATTATTGCAGATAGCTGATCCCCATCAAACACTGATAATGGAAGTTATAATTTGGCGGCTTTCAGAATGCTACAATTTAAAAATTTTGACGTAGATTGATGAATGTTACAATCTGACGACCTTCACAACAACCGATGAAAGCTCTAATTCAACAACCTTCACAATCATCAACAAGTATTACAATCTGACGACTCTCATATTTTAAGGAGCCAAATGCAAAGATTACAAACTGACAAACTTTGTAATGATCTCTTTAAATCAAACGTAGGGTTCACCCCTAGCGTTCCAGTTCAAAACGCAGGGTTCACCTCCAGCGTTCTAGTTTAAAACGCAGGGTTCATCCCCAGTGTTCCAGTTGGAAACGCAGGGTTCAAACCCAACATTCAAATACAGACGCAGAGCTCGTGGTCGTGTTCCAGACGCAAAACGCTAAGCTCGTGGCTCAAAACACCGAGCTCGTGGTCACGTTCCAGACTCAAAACGCAGAGTTCACCTCTGTGTTCCTAGAACAAGACGCAAAGCTCAAAAGCTGCATTGCAACATCAAAACATAGAGGTCCTCCCTGCACTGCAACATTAGAACGCAGGGGTCAGACCCGCGTTTTCTGCGTTTGACTGGTTCAAACAGAACCTGAACGGTTTCAAAACTGTATCTCCACTTAATGGGGTTGGTTACACCCCATTAAGGAGTGATTTTAGAGGGCGGTTACACCCCTTAAGCCCCTGAACGGTTTCAAAACCGTTTTTCACGAAATAGGGTCGGTTACACCACATTAAGGAGAGATTTTAGAGGATAGTTACACCCCTAAATTCCTTATAAATAGCTAAAAAATTAGCTTAAAATGAAAAACTTTTGGATGTCGAAAAATCTAAAGGAGATCGGCATTCATCCTTAGAGAGTTTTCATCATCAGCAACAGAGATCTTAGAGCTTAGATCTTGGCTTACTAAACGAAATTTTGGTTTCAAATCAATTCTTTCACAGAGTTTAAAAAAACTCGCACTGAGTTATAAAACTCGTTCAGAGTTCTTTTCATACTTGCCACGCAAGTTCCATCAACCGTTCCAGTGAAGTGAGACGTTCGGATCGTCAACGAGAAGCAAACTCGATACGAACATCGAGGGAGGCATCTCATCGCTACCGTGAAGAACCCAGTTTTAAACAAATAGGAGGATCTCCGTCGATCCTCTTCTCTTTTATAAATCAGGATTCCAATTGAGAATATTTATAATTTCTTTTTCTAAGCCTGTTAGAGAGAGAGAGATTACTTTGAGAGAATTGCAAACTATTCTTTATCTAAATCAGTTAGAGAGAATAAAATCAAATACATTTCTCACAATTATTCTTTTAATTTTTCAACAAATAAAAGATGGTGACTCCGCTGGGGATGAGCTTCACTGACGAAGAAGTGGTGGCATAATCTGATATCGAGCTCGCTGGAACGATCATCGAAACTCTTATTGTTGAGTTTGATCAAGCCAAATATGAAGAGTTCCTCCTCTTTGGATCCCTTAGTCCGAAGGCTATGCGTATGATCCGCAAAGTCTTCAAGGAGACAAAAGCTCCAACCATTGCTCCTATGCCGAAGGTGTAGACGTCAAAAAATACTTACAGACATTCAAATACTACTCAAGATAAAGAAGAGGCGATAAACGTTATTCTCTTAATCAAAGGGGATCATTCAAAGGAAGCGAGACAACATAGAAGAACAATATGAACACCCACGACAAGAAACACTGACGCGCATTTGTGCGATAGTGGAAGATGTTGTGCACACAAATAGAGTGATATTCCTATGGGAATTTGTAGATCTCTTCGATATCTTTCCAACGCATCTTGGATCACCTCATTCCGACATCGGACGAGGAAGTTAGAGCCAAAATACCCGAGAGGTCGCAAACTACATTGAAGGTGCGCGGCACTGTACACTGCCGCGGAAAAAGCGCGACAGTACAAGGTGTCGCGCAAATAAACATAGTGAAGCGCCAATGGGAAGTTGTAGATCTCTTCGATAGCTTTCCAATGCATCTTGGATCACCTCATTCTGACATCGGACGAGGAAGTTAGAGCCAAAATACCCGAGAGGTCGCAAACTGCATCGGAGGTGCGCTGCAGTGTACACTGCCGCGGCAACAGCGCGACAGTACAAGGTGTCACGCAAATAAACATAGTGAAGCGCTAATGGGAAGTTGTAGAGCTCTTCGATAGATTTCTAACGCATCTTGGATCACCTCATTCCGACATCGGACGAGGAAGTTAGAGCCAAAATACCCGAGAGGTCGCAAACTGCATCGGAGGTGCGCGGCAGTGTATACTGCCGTGGTAATATATTGCACATTTAAGCCATGATATGATCCAAATCTGAAGAAGCTTAAATGATAAAGTTGTAGATCTCTTCGTCAGCTTTCCAACGCATCTTGGATCACCTCATTCCGACATCGGACGAGGAAGTTAGAGCCAAAATACCCGAGAGGTCGCAAACTGCATCGGAGGTACGCGGCAGTGTATACTGCCGTGATAATATATTGTACATTTAAGCCATGATATGATCTAAATCTAAAGAATCTCAAAAGACAAAAGTTGTAGATCTCTTCGTCAGCTTTCCAACGCATCTTGGATCACCTCATTCCAACATCGGACGAGGAAGTTAGAGCCAAAATACTCAAGAGGTGCGCGACAGTGGTAACTGCCGCGGCAATGCGCGACACCACGTACTGTCGCGGCCACTGGGAAGTTGAACACGTCATTTTTGACAGTTTTCTCGAGTTTTGTGCAGCCCACATGGCTTATTAACTGCTGGGGGTCACTTATGAATGTGGGGAAAACAGTTACAAGCGAAAATCATGCCCACTAACCTCATAAAAAGATAGTATTTAAGTAGTGGGACGGCGGTTACAAAAGGGGGCTGATTAGAGAGCATCCAGGCGAGGGACGGTAGATTAGAGCAGAAAAGACTTAAGCTTTTGGTGAATTAGAGCAAAAGAGAGAGCTTCCTTCTTCACAAACATCTTCAAGAAGCTTTTGGCGATTCCTAGAGATCTAAGCTCTGACTTGATCTTGGGGGAAGCAGTTACAAGCGAAAATCATGCCCACTAACCTCATAAAAAGATGGTATTTAAGTAGTGGGATGGCGGTTACAAAAGAGGACTGATTAGAGAGCATCCAAGAGAGGGACGGCAAATTAGAGCAGAAAAGGCTTAAGCTTTTGGTGAATTAGAGCAAAAGAGAGAGTCTTCCTTCTTCACAAACATCTTCAAGAAGCTTTTGGCGATTCCTAGAGATCTAAGCTCTGACTTGATCTTTAGAAGAGTGAACATCTTACATCGATAAGATATTCGCTTCAAATTCTTACTTCGATAAACGAAGGAAGAATCATTAAACCCCTCACGGTTCAATCAGAATCTGTGATTTGGTGGTCCACGAGTCAAAGCGCTCCCGGCACAGGCAAAGATCCCACGCAAGCAGCGATCCAAACAACGATCCTGCGTTTGTTTCTAAAAAGTTGTAATTTTCCTTTTGTTGTGTAAAAGAAGTCTTAGGAGCCAACGGTCTCGCTGCCGAGACCGTCGTGTCGCAGCCAATCATCAAGATCCCGGTTGAATCCATGAAGTGGATGAAGTCATCTTTGCTGATACACCTCCCAATAGCAGTAACGCTGGGGGTGGTTTAACACACCCTCCCAATAACGATATTGGGGGTGGTTCAATGGCACCTCTTACAGGGGGTGGTCTAACTCATTCTCCTCAACGTCCTTCAAATAAAGACATAGACGATGACGAGAAAATAAAAGAGCTTGAAAACAAAATCAACGCTTTGATGACTGCTCAAGAAGTGAAAAAGACGGGTATTCCATGTCCCTATCCAAGAGAATGGAATTCAATACCGTACCCGTTGAATTTGTTGTAATCGACCGAAGATATAATGAATTCCATAACAAAACCAACTTTTGACGCAAACAGAAGGAATCCCTCTCCTTTAGCCAAGATTGTTCGAACAGCCCCTCCTCCGAAGGAGTGGGCTCAGCTTATGCCAAACTCGTCAATCGAGTCGAGGAATCTATATCC